TAGAGCTACATATCAATATCTTTCCATAACTCACTATTTTGCCTCTCAAGGACTGTAGCAAACTTTAAAGCCCATTATGCTGATACCTTAAAACCTGGAACTGAAGCACCAGAAAAGAAACCACTTTCTGTACAGAACTTTTATTTTTTTATATGTCAGTGATGCAGCCTAGTACAATTTTTCTTTTAGTATTAGTCTGAAGGGACTAGTAAACAAATTCTCTCTTTATATATAATCTCAAAGTCTGGGTATGACAAAGTCTCTTGCCACAGATCCTATTCCTCCAGTTAAGAAAAATGGACTAAAAAAAAGGCTTCTGTGTCTAAAGACCACAGAATGGAGCAGTCTTAAATAAAGTAGCTCTGTCACCAAAACCTTCAACTCAGCACATACTATAAAGTAAGAAAAAGAAACCTGCACAGAGCTCTATCCTTTCTATACTCACTTAGCTCACTGAAAGCTACTCTAGGGAGGTTACAGAGTTTTCAAATGATTGGAAGGAGCATATTCAGAGATAACTGATTCCAGTCCTCTACCAAACGCACCAAATCTGACTGTCATCTTTGCCCACTTCTAGGGCACATAGAAAGGAAGGGGGAAAAGGGTGAAAAGTGAATTTGTTGAGCTAAATAGAGAACAGAATCAAGACTTAATCTGAATTCTGAATCGACAAACAGTTGCTTTAGAAGAAACACCGTAAGAATGAGATACACCATGAGAAAATCATGAATTTAAATGACTAATGAAAAACTACACTTTATAAAGCAGTCAGGCAGACTGCTTACAGTAATTGCATAAAACTATAAGTGAATTTATCATGTAATGATAAATAAAAAAGAAAAATTATTTTGAATGTTCACAAATGTCCTTTAACTGAAACAACCAAATACACGCATTTAATCATTTGCATCATATCAACATCATAGCTATCAAATAGCACTTATTTAGCACTAACTGGAACCCTGGATACAGGAAAGCATAGCAGAAAAAACAGTCCAGAAAAATGAATATATGTGAAATTACTTAAAAAGCCATTTTATGTTTCTGTTTAACAACTCATGCAAGGACATATCAGAAAATGCTAAATATTTTTGTCACATTACATAATACATTCTCTTGAATGTACAGCAGGTTACAGCACAGTATTACATTATGAAGTCCGTAAAAGATAATATTAGTAGCAGGATGGCAATACCTTAGGCTTACCCTAAGAAATTAATCTTACTGTTTTTCAAAGCCTAGGAAAAATCTAATAGTATCTCCTTGAGGACTTATACAACCTGAATAAAAATTACAGCAATATCATAATTAATGTCATATTAAGCAAGCAATTTCTAATTTCTTCACTTTTTTCTTTTTTTTTCAGATCAATTATGAAATTTCAGCTTTCTGGAAATGCAGTAAGTCCATTGCACTTAATAGACAGTAACTTCTGAGCATAATCAGTGTTGTACCCTGTACTGAATGTACTATTTTCTATTTAATTCTTCTTTTAAATTGTATTTATGAATTACCTAACAACAGCATTTGTATGGTAGCAAAGCACCTTAAGTTCCCACTATACCTAGCTTTCCTGTTTTGGGCAAGTATTGCTGGAAGAAAATAATGTATAAAGCTGTTAATATGCCCATATACAGCATTAATTAAGCACGTGATTATGCACTTTGATGAACATGAGGGCCATGGGAAGCAATAACTATGTCAAGTGATAGGCAGCTTTCAAATTCTGTACAGTTTCTTTTTTTCTTCCTATAAAAAGGGTCTTTAAAAAGATTAGGAAAGACACCTATGAAATTCAGTATCAGCAGTGTAAAAGATGCACATCTGGCTTATAATCAATGTGCTTAGTCTCTTAGTGTTGTGGCAGTGAAGTTTCAAATAACATAATTAAGGTTGGAATTCATAAATATTTTTCTGAGAAATTTGTTGGGAGATGAGGATATATCCAGCAGCAGAGCCTAAAGCTTCCAAAATATTATGGCTCTTGCTACAATCATCTGCTACTTTTGCTTGAATGGTATGGAAGAGGACAATGGAAGAAGTCTTGTGAGTTCTATGAGTATTATATCTAGGCATCTGGAAAAGAAAAGTTCTTCTGGCAGATTAACTCAGCCATTATCTGGATAGAAAAAAATTAAAACTCAAGTGTTTGTTTATTACAAATAGAGTCGTTTGGAAATGCTGTGTGCAACAATACAAGGTCTGGGTGTGTTTTGAGCATGTATTTTATTGGTAGATAATAGTCAGAGTTCAAAAAGTTGCAGTGAATACCCAAATATCAGGAAGCATTCCTTCCCGTTGCTACCATTGCAGGTTTTCTCCAATATATCAGGAAAAAGATTAAAAAAAGAGGGTAAAGAAAAATGTATCTTATAATCCCAGGTAGATTACCATCACTACCAAACTGTCATGAGTAACTTTCTATATTACATTTACTGTGATAGATACAAGATTTGTCATACACAGTGATGACACAACCCCATTATGTTTTGGGATATAACTACACCTTAAACAGTATGGTATTTACTGATTTCCTTCCTTTTTAATACTTTGAGGTGAAAAAAAAGATCCATCTAAGGTAACTAATTCAGTGAATCTCTGTCACAGATAAATTTTGGTTCACTTAAGTCCAAATCGGACATTTCAGTTCATGCTCATCCTAATGAAATTCAGATAAACTACCCTGGCTGCAGGCCCATTGACTTCTGGCTGAAGAGTACACACAGCTGGATGTCTGTAAATCAGGCAGGACACAATTTCTGCATATAGGTTAATGACTGTTCTGCGTCACCAATGTGTAAGAGTACAGACACTAAGCCAGAGACCTCAAAAAAGCATTTTGCCTGCCTGGCAACTGTCTAATAAAAACAAAGCTTACTTTTTTGTCTGTATCACATTACATGATGTGAACATTCATAAAGTAGACTACATTAAAGCAAGAGGATAGAGGGAAAATTATATCCCTACCGATGTAAAGTTACTCAGGCTACTTAGTCATTTTAAGTCACCACACATCCATGCTGATACCAAAAGATTCAGTTCCACCCTCTCCTCCTCATTTGTCAATGCCACCATAACTCAGGTAGTAGAATTTGTACATACATAACATAAACTGAGTAAATCATCTAGCAAATTTCTTTCCTAAAAACGTTGCATTCTGACAAATTAGGTTGTTTTCTTATCAGAGAGATTTTATATGGCTATAGACTTTATCTTTCTAGAAGAAAACCACAGAGAAGGCTCATTAGTATCTGTTTCATTCTATAAACAAAATGCATTCAAATTATTCTTTCTGACTTGGTAAGTGTAGTTTTAAATCTGGTTCTGCTTATTTTTATCTAAAATCCAACACTAAGGAAGCCACATCTGCATAACTGCCTGTAGTGTAACAAATACAGCCACCTTAAAGATCACTGTCAGCAAAAGGGAAGTAGCAGGAAGGCAGAAAAACCTGTTTGATGATATCAGATATGAAGCTGAATGATAATGATAGCATAACTATTGCTTGACATTTTTAATACAAGTTTGGGGAGAATTAGCCATAATATAGAAGTTTTAAAGTCTAAGAAAAAAAAAGACAAATCACTCTGTTGCAGCTATTCATGTTCAAACTTCGCTAAGACAATGGTCAGTAGTTACTTTGCTTTTGCAGTTGGTTCAAAAAGTTTCATAAGGATTTCCACAAAAATGTATCTTCAGTTCACACCTTTCTCCCCTCCCTCCCAAAAATTGGAAACTTTGAGCAACAAAGGAACTAATACATTCCACTTAGCAATACAAGAATATTATATTCGGTTTTAGCATCAAGATCCTTGACCCAGACTATAAACACACACAAATGATTTCTTATGGCGATTTCAAGTGTGTTAGAGAAAAATCATAATTTTTAAATGAACATAGTTCTTAAAAATAAATAATATTAATTTCTGGTAACACTAAAACATTTTTTTTAATCTTCTGTTTACAAAAAGCATTGCCACAACTTATTCCCTTGATTCATAACAGTGATTTTCTGATTGCTTTTGTGGATTACAACAATAAGCATCCTGCAGTGCTGCAGTTTGTAAACTACAAAGATATAGTAAACTGCTACATACTTCTTCCATTAGGTAATCTCTCTAAATCAACAACAATTTACTGCCACCTTAATATCAGATATAGTTATCACCACCAGAAATCTGGCTCAATATGATTCTGTCCCTTGCCCACAATCATCTTAGCCCCTCTTTTTAAAATAAGAAGTATCACCAGAACTTAAACTTCAAGCACCTTAGAAGTCAGCCACAAAGTAATTCACATTCAAAGCAAAATCGGTGTTTCTTCCCGCACCTTTGTAATTCCCTCTTTTGCTATTTACTACCTGGTACATTTCAAATAATTGTTAGTATTGCATAAATTTTATGTTTGCACACAATCTCACAAAATTTAAGGTCATTACAAAATTTACAGACATTTTCAATACAAGCTGACTCATAAAAATGTCTTCTGGGTCTGTTTAGTGAGGTATTTTATCTAAAGCAACCCAACAGAAACACCTCTAGAATTCAACACACTGGTTTATAACCTCTGTGTGAATATTCCTATCTAAAATTGACTTAATAAATGTTGCAAGTAGCAACCTTTGAGATGGTATATCCAGTAATTTACTGAGGCTTACATCCTGCACATCCTGCATAATCTTAATTCAAAACTTATGAATTTTAGATCCAAGAAGTCCAAGTTATGTTTTCACAAGAGACATTGCAGGTTGACAGAACAGTATTTGCAACTTAAAATGGGTAAACTAAACTTCCAAAATGAATACCAAAATAATTCAAAATAAAAACACCAGAAGGCTGAAAATATTAAAAAAAGGGGGATTTTTGCCTTTAAAAAAATTGTGGAACCTAAATATAAAAATTATAACAGTCAAGTTTTACCAAAACTAGGTTTCCTTTCTAAATCTAAAAATAACTGAGTTGTTCAAAGCTAACTATTAATCGCAAATGAAAAGGACTTACCTTCTTGTCTGTTATTTTTCCTTTTTAGCCATTTTTCCACAGTTTCTGCACTTACACTTTCTGACACAAACTCATCCAGTACCTGGGGGTGAAGAGAAAGATACGCCTTCACTTTTTCATCTGTTAAACCTGAAAGAGAGAATATTAATTGATTACATTATCAGTATGAGCTCCCTCATACGAAAAAAATACCTAGAGACGAGCAAGAATCAATATTCTTTTTTTTAACACACTGATTGAATACATGACTATTTAAATTGTCTCCTCCTAGAGAGAGAAATACCCAGTAAAAAACAAATGAGCTGTCATGTAGAAAGCAGTGGAAGCAAAGCATATCCATACGAGATACCATGTAAAAAACGTCCCCTAGAGGGGTACAGGTAAACAGTACCTGGGAGAAACAGCCAGGTAGGAATTTATGACTATGACTGTGACTATAAAAGTACTTATTTCCACGATATGTAAGATGATACATTGATAAAGAACGTGGTTAGAAGGAGATAGAAGAAAGTAAACTGGTATGTCTTGTAAAGCATCAAATTCAGTATTCTCACTGTGAATGGCAGCAAAATCAACACAAACTGTTATGCAACACCAAAATCATACGCAATTTTCAAGTACTGAAATTACTTCAGTTAACTTTAGACGTATAAACTACTTTCGCAGGTATGTTTCCATTACTTTAGCAATTTAGTTATCAAAACAAAAATAATTGCAGATAAAAGGCCTTTACAATATCTGTAACAAAAAGATAACTCCAGTAAACATTTTGGAAAAAGAAGCAAAATTCAGAATTTCAGATCCCTGACATAAATAAATTTTAAAATTCATAAAATTATAATCTGATCATACACTTCACAATTCCCCCAAACAAAATGATCAGCCGCAGAGAGGTGAACCCAGTAGTGCTGAGGCTTTCCAAAGAGGTAGGCAGAAAAGATGAGCACCTGTCCCAAGGTGCTTGGCTCCCACAGAGAGAATAGGTACCCCAAGTACAAAAGCCTTAATGAGATCTGAGGGGAAGAGGAGAAACAACCACTGTAACAACTTTAAATATGCTGTCTTCTCTTGTGTTGGGTTTCTCTAAATGTAGTAGCAAATTCTCCACAGAAAGCAGTCAAGGTTCAGCAAAAAAAGTTGTTCAGGTTGTTCAGGTTAAACAACACTGACCTCTTTTCGAAAGCATTCATGCTATAAAATAAGATAGATTTTCCTATTTTATGCTTTGTGTGGTATCAGAACGTGATGAAAACAGCTGTAGTGCAATTTCAATGCTAGTCAATGATGGTAATCTTTAAGATATCTTACAAACGTTTACAATGAAAGTCTTTCGGAAGCAACACCAGAAAACAAACTACTATGCCACTCTCCCTACACCAACCAGCCCCCACCAGCTCATATCTTGTTTAAACTACCCCTTCTCTTAATCCATAAAGGTGGCAGTTCCTGTTGGATATCATAGCCTCAAATAACAACATTGACATTTGCAGGCAAGAGTCACTAGATCTGGATCACTTCAATAAGCTAATTGAGCATCCTGATTTTCATTAAGAGAGAAGAAAAGGTTCTTCCTAAATCAATAAGACCTGTAGATGATCAGCAAGTTAAACGAAAACAAGTAAAACCCCATTACGATTGTTTGACCTTACGTGATAGCTTGTAAATTTAGATCATAATGCGTCTGTAAAGAAACATATGTGCCAAATGAATAAGTAGATTTTTGAGCCAATACAGGTATCACCTCACATTCTGAAAAATCAGACTCATTAATACAGTTTTGTAATTTGCTCAACTAAGAAAAATGTAATACCTTGAAAAAGTAAGTCTTTCTAATTTCATAGTAATAAAATTTTAAAAGGAAATGTGTTTTAAGAATTGTTCATAATTACTATAATGTTTTAAAAACTTAGCAGATTTAACCATCAAAAAGTCATCAAAACTTATTTGCCTTTAAAGTTCTGAATGAAAAATAATCAATACAGGGTTGTCACAAAATGCCTGCTACTTCCAAATTGTCTTTAGACTGCAAACAAACACTTTTTGCTTCTAGTAAGAAACTAGGAGTTGAAAAGATTGTAAAATTAGCAACTGAAACTCTACAAGAGTTGATTTTTTTTTCAGTGAAAATAAACGTAACTTTCTTTCTTGATTCAAACCTTTCTAAGTTGTTGGTTTTGTAATATACACATCAAAATTCAATAAAATGTAAATTTGAGATAAGACTTCAGTCTACATGTCTCAAGTTTAATTTCCAGATATCATGCAACTTTAGCAACCTAAAGGTAAAAGCATTGCCTTAACCATACATGGAAAAGTGATTCATGAAGCTGATATAAGAAATCCTACAACAGCCTTTAAATTACCCATCTTTATTTCACCAAAGGCATCTGTGCAGATGTGCTTTTTCAATGCCAGATTTGTAGATGGGAGCAAGCAAAACAGGATTTACTACTATATTTGCAGAGTTTAAAAAGAGTAACTTAAACCTATTTTCTACTTAGATTAAAGGTGATTTATCAGTCAGTTCCCAACTCTTAGCCTGCTGTGTTGAAAAACACCCACTACAACCATACACACAAACTCCACAACCAAAACTAGCAGGAACACATTGTAACTTCACGAAATGTAACATTAATAGACAGCAGCCTTTCAGAAGAAATTTAAATGTTTTGTCTTTTACGTACACAATAAGTGTTGTAAAGATGCTTGAATGTTAAATTGTTTTACAGCTGTGTAGAAACAATTATTTTATGGCGGATATAATGCCTTCTACATTATAAGATGTACATCAGAATAAGATTATTATGTAACATCATGTATAGGTTCAATGATGGACACATTTGCTCTCTTGAGCATTCACATGCTCCTGAATAATTATGGTACATGTATTTTATTTTTCCTAAATATTATCAACCTTTCTACTGAAGTGCTGCAATCCTTTAATTCTTAGCAATAAAAAAAACTATTTGAGAATTCAGAGGCAATGATTAATAACATTTAAATAAAGAGGACCATAACACACCAAACTCAGGAACCAAAAGTTTATCATACCATTCAGGTGTCATTTACAGAATTACAAACAAAAATAACACAAGCCAGTGCTGGTTATTCTGTTTTTGTATTGGTCTTAAGCATTTGAGGCAGCAAACTTTTCTACATGCATTCATATTAGAAATATTTCTCCACTACTCCTTCTTCCCTCACTACTACTTTCCATCATCTCCAGTAATGCCAGGACTTCTCTCATTCTTGTTCATCAGTTCTTGTGTAGAGCATCAAGTGTATATATCATCAGTGTCTAACAAAGGAAAAGACAGAAGGGCACACATTCATAACTGCATTAGTCTATATGCTAAAATCACATTTCAGGGCTGATATCCTTCTGACACAGCTTGCTATTTGTCAAGTTTTATGCATGTGTTAACTATTTGTTCTTAATTTGTCATTAAATAATGAAAATGAAGATAAAAATATCATGCAAAAGTATACACATGTATCAGATAAGCTCTTCTTTTTCATTTCCCTCTGAACAAAGAGTGGGCAAAGAAACAGCTCCAGCTGCCTGACACTTGTGCCAGCTCAGCAGCTCCTCACTTTGTGACCAGCACACCCATTTAGGTTGTGTAAATCTCAATTTGAAATATGTTCTCTTTGGCCATACCATCTGCTTTTAAAAGTTTATTCATGTGCATTGAAAACCTTAATCAAGGTGGGTTTGGTTTCATTTTTCCATTTCTGGGCTACTCCTGTTTGAACAGTAAATGGAAATACAACTTTTCAATAAATGCTGGGGTTTATGCAAGTGGTTCACCTTATTGTGGTATTTTGTATATCTCATTATTACAGGATAGGATGATGTAAAGCTGGCAAAGCTCAGTGCAAAGCAGAGAGTAGAAGATGGCCTGTCCTCCCAAAACCACTCAAGAGGCAATTCCTTCATCAGAAAAAGGCCTGGGACAATCACCCTGGGATGTTAGGAGTGAGAAGCATAAATAACATGACAGAAAAACAATTGTGTTTACTTGTAGTATTTCTATAAACTGAGGTATTGATGCATTCTAGCAAAAAACCATAGCCCTGTTTTTCCACTTTGCATATGCCTGAGGCTCGAGCAGTTCATGTTATTTGGCATAGCTGATGCTAGTCTATCAAAATTTTGGTTTTGTGGTTTGTGGTTTGGGTTTGTTTTTTGTAGTGGTGGAGTTTGAGGGTTTTTTGGTTGTTTTTTTTTTTAAATAACTCTTTGGCTTTCAATGGACCATGTGTAAGAGTGTTTGGGTGTTGGTTTGGGGTTTTTTTTCCTACCCAAACTACGAGAAATTGTTTCTTTTTCACTGAAATTAATAGCAGAAATACAGAGTTGAAGACAGAATTATGGGTGGATTTCTTCCCTTTTTATTTAATTAAACTAACAATAGAAAATAAAAATATTGCTACTAAATATCACAGTTCAGTCATTTCACCTTAAACTAGAAAGCCAAAACACTTATGATAGTCTGGTTCAACAAATAACTATTTTTTCAGTGGTCCTATGACCAATACTTTAAAAACACACTTCATTTTGCTAAGGGTAAAGAATAAAGAAACCTTTACCTGGAATAATTTAGCAAGTTTAGTAGAGCTATTTAAAGAGGAATACTTATTCATGTAGATTATGAACTACCACAGGAAACTGTATATACTCTCTATTTATTTCAACAGTGTACCAGGACTAGATCATTGGGACTTCAAAAGCATAACTAAAACTTCAACTGTTTTTTTAGTACTTCTACAAAAAGCCAAACAAAACCAAAAAAAACCAGCACCCCCACCTTCCAAAATAGCTCTACTTGTGGGTCTCATACAAAGACAGTGTGAGTATTGCAGGCTGCTTGATTTAGTGATTGTGTGGCCTGCGCAAGTCTAGCTTTCCCTTTTGATCTACCAGTAAAGCTTTCATTTCAACAATTGCAATATTTCATTAGTGATAACATCAAGTAGAACCTTAAAAGAGATCAACTGCTTTCACAGAGCAATCTCCCACTGTCCAGTGTAAGTAGACCAACAGCTTCATTAGTCAAAAAGAAAATCTGTAGCACTAAAAAAAGAACTAAATAAGAGAAAATTACAGAACATTCATTGCAGCTGAG